AACAATACACTCTTGTTTAAAATCTTTGAGTGAACAATTAACAATTAACAAATAACAGCCTAAACATGTCTACCACGATGCATCCAAAGATACAAAGGGTGACTTACAAGGTCACACACAAAAGACTCTCAAAACCCTAAATCCTTATTTTACACTAAAGTGTTTCTTGTTGTGAGTGCCTGTTTTCCCTTGCTTCTGCACCTCCTTAAATAGTAATGCAGACTGAGCTTGGGCTGGTAAAAAATAAAGGCATGAAGAGAAGATTTCAATCTTCATAGATAGCAGCAGAAATTAGGTTTAACCAAGTTAAACCAATCTTCACTATTCAAGGTGCTAAAAAATAGGCCATAGGCGTTTCCTTTCATGATCAGGTCTGACCAGAAAGATTTATAAAATATAGCCTGAGATAAATGAGGAAACCTAACAGAAAATAAAACAACGTTTATATTAACAGATACTGATGTCACGACATTCAGCTTGACATCCAATAAACTCTGTAATTGATCTCAATCTCCAAAACAACAATTTATCTCCTAATCTTCTGCAGAATCGTCTTCATAACAGCAGAAACAAATATTTTATAGTTTCCTAAAAAGTCTCAACGATCCTTTTTATGAACACCAATTAAATCCGCACTTTGTTCCTAATAAGTCTCTTTGACCTGCATATACTGATGAGGTATATCCAACAGGATCTCATCAAACCAAAACACCTCTGTCAAGAGATATAAAATAGCAACTCCTGTTGTACCAGACAAGGATGTCATGATATCTGTCTCGACATCTTGATTAAAACACATGACATCAGTTCTGTCACCACAGCAGATGGATGTCACGACATCTGTCTTGACATCTTGATTAAAACACATGACAGCAGTTCTGTCACCACAACAGATGGAGATGTTATAACATCTTGCTTAACATCAGTGCAGAATCATGTTTTACCAAAATTTAGCCAATCATAGAACCATGGAACTAACACTTCATATACTTCACCAACCACATCCTCAACCACTGTGGTCCCATCCTCATTATTAACCATATCAGGCCCTTCACCACACATTTCTTCATCCAATATGCTCACATGTGGTAGTGAGAGTATGGGTTCCTCAATAACATTAGGTACAGATGCAAGATGTGTAACATACAAGTGGCATTCCCCAGTTAACACTGCAATGGTTCTCATCCTATTAGTCCCCTTATCATTTTCTAACTGAACTATATCATTAGCAATCATATCATTATAATACCAAAGCCTATCTATAGTAGGATAACCTAACTCTCTTAACTTGTCAAATATTTCAAAGTAACTCCAATAATTAGGATCAACATCCAATATTTCCTCTAACCCTACATAACCTGACTTGGTAAAATTTACAAACTCTCTAGGAAACTCACTAGAATGATGAACAACACACTTAAACCTAATCTCCATGACCTAATCAACCTACATATAGTATCAAAAGTACTAAGCAAGTTAGGTATATAAGAGATTTAACATTTTTTGAATAGTATTTGCTCAAGTTCGTACCTTAGGGTTTTCTGTTCAAACGAGTGAAATAATGAAGTTATTCTTCTTCGTTCTTCTACAATGAACTCCGTCTTCAAAGAAGCATTGTTGTCGTACCTTAGAGTTTTCTTGTTGTCGTAAACTTCGCTATCTGAACTTCGTCTTCAAACAAGTGTTGTCGTAAACGTTGTCTTCAATGAAATTCGTACAGAGATATGATGTTCTTCTTCACAATGTAGCTGTTGTTTGAACAAGATACCTAAACAAGCTTTCATCCAACATTCTTATCATGCCCTAACACGTTTTTTCTCCTTAAAATGAATGTTATGTGTAATATAAAATTCACCTCATCCATTAAAATAATTATAGAATATTCACCTAAGCCATTTAAAGTTCAGCAGTGCAATTTTTAAATTAGTGGACCATAATGTAACATTTTTTTTAAAGAATTAAAGCAAAATAAACACTAGCGTTAAAAGACTAAAGGAAATATTAAGCCTAATTTTTATGTAATAATTTTGTCTCCTCTAAATTTACAACCAAAGACACACTTAAATATGTTGTGATTTGGTTCTCATCTTTAAACGGCTACAGTTGTACAACAGATAAAGTGATTAGTCATTTTCTTTAATTCAAATCATTGAAAATATCAACTAATGATGTAACGAAACGTATTGGTGTGTCATGAATTAGTTGTATGTGTCCCCACCACATGTAGACCAAGCCAACGGATGCCGTCCAAGGTAACGGTTAACAACATGTTGTCTTTGGAGCTTAAAAAAACAGCTGGGATTTTGAATTACTCCTAAAACAACAAAGAAAAGCACTATTCAATATCATTTCAAATTATCAATAAATCAAGAAATTCAAATTAATCAAAAGCTAGGATATAATAGGAATTTTTTAATTTATCTGCTGTCATGTTCAATTTCAATTATATAGAATGACATAAAATTCAAACTTTGGAAAAGTACATGTTTTTTTGGGTCTAATAAATTCTTTTGGTAAACTACGTAAATCAAGGAATTTGATTGTGATACTATTAAATTAGTCAACAAATTTTTACAAGTTAAAACTTTTAATATAGAGAATTAGATAATACTTATATTAGGATTTTTTACCTAAATAATTTTCTTTTCAAATTAATTTTCACAATTACTTATATTTCAAAAAAATTCTTCAAGTACCTCACTTTCATAAAAAAAAAAAAGTTTGGGAGGGTGCACATGGTGTTTAAAATATGTTATGCATTTTCATAAGTGTAAAAAATAAAAATTTTGTTAAAAATAATTTAAAATATAAACTTTTAAAAAGTTGTTGTAATATTTTTATATTTATTTTTTAACTTAACTTATTAAATACAAGTCATAGAAAGTTTAAATGAGAGGTTGGAGACGAATTTTTGATTTTATGTAGAATGTAAGTTTAATAAAAGGAGAATCATCTCTAACCTAAATCTTTAACCTAAATGTGAAAGTTGAAAACCATATCTCCACCACTTATGTGATTTATATATTTTGAATAGTGGTGGAAAAACAGGTTGGACCTGCCGGCTCCGTCCGTTTAATCCACTGTCTTTTGCGGGGTAGGGCGAGATTTTCGACTCGTTGTCTTAAGTTGGTCTGTCTCGCCTAACCCACTTTTAAAACGGGTCGAGTGCGGGGCGGAACAGGTTTTGTCTACAGACTTTTTGTTTAAAAAAATTATTTTTTACTTGGAATGAAAACAATATTAACATGGTATGTAGTAGACATACTTTTAAAACAATCCTCATTTCTTCAAACCTTAATATTCATTTTTCACATAACCACAAACATCTGATTTTGAAGACACTAATTGATCTCTGCTTCGTTCTTTATTTTCACTTATAGTAGGAAAAGTCTTTGTTGCAAAACATAGAGAATACATTCTTTTCTATTTTCTATTACTCGTTGTCATTGGAGCCGAATTTTAAAGCTAGAAGGTAAGTTTTGCACATAGGGGTTTGTTTCTCATTATGATGATAAAATTTTAATTTTTGAGATTTTAGTGTGTTCGTTTTAAATTTTTGATATTATAGTTACGTCGTTTGTTTATGTTGAAGAATATGACATTTGCATTAAGATTTGTTAAAGTTTTACTATACATTGTTAAAATTTGCCGACCTTTTTTGTAATGATTAACAATATTGTAAATTCTGTAGTAAACTAAATTGTAAAAAGAGATTGACGGACCAGTCAGCTAACCCGCCAACTCGTTAGTAAACGGACGAACTTGACTTTTGAGCTCGAACGCCTAAGTTGACTCGCATCATTTTTGGACGAAATTAAATGGTGCGAGGCTAAACGGGGCGAGCCACCCACTTTGCTACCCATAATTATGGGTGTGTTATATAAAATGATAGAAAAATAGAAAGTGATGTAAATCATTGAATTCAATGACTTTATATGACTCAAAGATACGATTAAAGTTGGAGGAAATTTTTTATAGGAATGCATACTATGGAAGACAAGTGATGTTGTACAAGACGAAATGTTCAAACGCTTAAAAATCTAACACGAGAATAAAGTCAAAGTAGCAAAGACAAAAATGTTGCATTGAAATGTATGGTAATATTAGACAAAATAAGATTAAAAATGACAATATTATTAAGGAGAGTGTTAACTAATACCTACCTATGATAGAAAAGATTGTGAGAAATAGCTTAAGTGCCTTGAGTATGTAGAAATAGAACTTATAGATTATGCATTAAGATGAGTAGATGAAGTCAAATAAACAAAGGTTGAGAAAGATCTTGAAAAATTTTAAAAAAAATTATTAAAAAATATATCAATATTAATGATCTTGATAGAAATATGCTTATGACGTAAACGTGATATGAGGTGGCTTAAAAATTAAGAATTTTTGATTCGAATCCAACCATATAACTATTCATTATGATCCTCTTCCGCTGAGAGGTCTATACATTTTTTAGCAAGGTACTCAATTTTTATAAAAGAATAATTTGTTTAAAACACAATAAAAAGATAAAAGTAACACAATTCAAACAATTATCCTAATAAAAAATTTGAACTCAATTGAACAAACAAACGTTACAAACCAGAATGATTTCAATAATAAAATACAGGTTGTACTGTTCATATTCGACCAATAATCAATCATGTGGCAGACTGGCAGGTAAGAGAAGAACATATTCATTGGCTGGTTGTACTCTCTCTCTCTCTCTCTCTCTCTCTCTCTCTCTCTCTCTCTCTCTCTCTCTCTCTCTCTCTCTCTCTCCTTCCATTTCACTGCTGTTTTCCATAACGTGCATTCAATCTCAAACCTACACGTGTGATCCATCAACGGCCAACGACAACCTTTGTTCTCTAACCTATTTCCTCAGCCAGAGTGGCTCTGTTGTTTTTCTTGTCGAGATTCTTTCGATCAAAATCACTATAAATTAAAACAAAACCCTAACATTGCATTTCACAAGTTTCAAATTGAGTGTACTAGCTTCTTTCATTGTAAAAATGGAGATTCTTAGAGTTCAGCTTTTCGTCATGACCATTCTCTCTCTTGCTCTGGCTTTTGTTGTTCCTTCCATCAATGCTCAGATCCCTGCACCTGCTCCAGCTCCCACGAGTGATGGTATTAATATCATAAACCCTAAACATTTTCTTGTTTTTTTTTTCTTCAAATTTGATGATGATTAATGAATGGGTCTGTTTGATTTTCATTTGGGTTTGTTGGGAATAAGTCAATTTTCAATTTTTTTCTGCTTTGATGATGATTCAATCATGTGGATTTGTGCGGAACAAGTGAATTTTCAATTAGGTAGCAAGTAAATTTTCAATTTTTTTCTTGTTTTGGTGATAATTAAATCATGGGTGTGAATAAATTCCAATTGGGTTTGTTGATAACAAGTCCATTTTCATTTTTTTGATGGATGATTAATCAATGTGTTTAAATTTCAACTGGGTTTGTTTGGGAACAAGTAAAATTTCATTTGTTTTCTTCCTGTTTTGATGATGATTTAGTCATGGATTTGTTCAAATTTGCAACAAGTAAATTTTCAATTTTTTTTTCTGGTTTGATGATGATAAAATAATGGGTTTGTTAGGAACAGGTTAAACTGCAATTTTTGATGATGATTAATTAATGGGTTTGTTAAAATTTTCAAGTGAGTTTGTTGGGAAACAAGTGAATTTGTAGGTGTTGTGTTGATTAATGATGTTATTTGGTTTTGACAGGAACAACATTGGACCAAGGAGTTGCCTGTGTACTGATGCTGTTGGCTTTGGCTCTTACTTACATCATTCATTAGTCTTTGGAAATTAGGGCAGCAGAACTCAATTTCTGGATTGATTCATCTATTGAACATGCTTTCCTTTTAGTTTCTCTCTCTTATTTTTGTACTTAATTATTTTGTTTCAAATCGATTCTTTTAATGAAATTCTTTTCATAATCCTTTGTGTCTATTTCTCTATGTTTATGGTTGTTTCTCTGGTGCCAACATGGTGTGGCGCAGTTGTTACATGTTTAGGTCTTACTATTCGATTGCGAGAGATTAAACCTTAATTAATCTTGAGATATTCGATTGCGAAAGATCAACCCTTAAATGAATTAACTCGAAAAATTAATCTCTACTGTTGCTTGAAGGTTAATCAATAGTAGTTCCACACTATACTCTATGTGATGAGTTGTAACCTTGTCAACAAATTTTGGCTGAATGCCATGCCATGGCTCTTTTAAGGATTCAGGCATTTTTTTTTGGGTGATCTTTATTAACCGTTTGCAGTTAGTAAAAGCCATGGTTGAGATTGATTTGTTGAATTTATGATGCGTGATTGTGGGGAATTTATGTTCTTTTTTCTTTAGAGAAAAGATGATGTACGATGTACATTGTGATTTCCAAAAAAACAACTTGAAATGGTAAATAATTCAGCTTTGGTTACAAGAACAACTAAATCTGTATTTCACTAATTGGAAATGGAAAATAATTCAGCTTTGGTTACAAGAACAACTAAATCTTTATTTCACTAATTGGAAATGGTAAATAATTCAGCTTTGGTTACAAGACCAACTAAATCTTTATTTCACTAATTGGAGTTGGCTATATGTAGTTACATGTAAGTAGGAGTGAGAATAGGTTGAGCCAAGTTAAACTCTGGCAAGCTTGAGTCGGATTTGCTAAAAATTTTAAAGTCTAAATCTAACCTATAGCCTATTGTAAGTTTATTTTTAGATCTGAGTCTGACTTTTTTGAAAGTCATAAAAATTTATTGTATTTGATCATTTGTAAATAAGATTTTTTTAACTTATTTTCATAAGTTTTTTAAAATAACTAAGTTTTACTTTATTTTATTTTATTTTAATTTTAATTCAAAATACAAATATAATATAATAATAGTAATAAAATTATTCATATTTATTTAAATAGGCCGGCCTGATAGGCTTAAAAGATTTTTTTAGAACCTCTAGCCTAATCTTTTTAACTAAATAGGCTTATAAAAAAACCTAGTTATTTCCTATTTGAAAAAAAGTTTGATCTGTCCTGAGTCTGTGTAAGTTAGGCCGTAAGTACCTGTTAGTTGGTCTAACCTATTCCCAACACTACATGTGGGGATGGTAAAACCCGCCACAGACACGAGTTTGGATGGTTTGATGTGTATCCATGGAATACGTATTTGTTGGTACTCTTACCTGTGAGTATCTGTATCTATTAATAATTAGAAAAACTACTTAAATATCCTTTAAAATTATTATATTTGATAAGTTTCTTTTATTAATAGTCACTTAATTTAACTTGGTAATCTCTTTTACACTTAAAACCTTAATTGCGTCCGTTTTTCTTTTCCACGTCTTCTTCTTGCCTTGCATCTTCAAAAGTTATACATATAATCTTCTTCAAAAATTGCAATTTTTAAAAAAAGGTATCCATGGATATTCGCAAATACCAGTAGGTATCTCAAAATCCGTAGATACCCGTCTGCCGAATATCCGTACGAGTATGGGGTGGATACGGGTATCATATTTACTAAATAAGACGGATAAAGGGGAACTAGTACCCGTACCCATGGGCATCCATTGCCACCCTTAGTTACATGAATCAACTTTCGTCGCAATGTTCTTTCCACCATGATGACTATATCCAAATCGTTAATCTCAATGTCGTTTTTAATAACTTCTCTTATAGTTTTTCTAAACCTTTTTCTACCTCTAGTTGTTTTCCTTCTTTCCATCATATCTACGTTGTTTACTACAGAATCTATAAGTTTTCTCTTTACATACCCAAATCACCTAAGTCTATTTTCCACCATTTTATCTACTATAGGTGCTACCCCAACATTATTTCTAATATTGTCATTTTTAATCATATCATGTCTAGTCTTACCACACATCCAACGCGGCATCCTTATCTCTATTACACTTACTTTATTCTTGTGATGATTCTTAACCGCCAAACATTTCGTCCTGTAAAACATTGCAAGTCTCATGTCGTCCGATAAAGTTTTCCATTCATCTTGAGCGATACCATTGTGTCACATTAAACCCCAGAACCACACCTCCATTTCAACTATCCGACTTGAATTCAATGGTTTACATTCCCATATATTTCTCCATCATTTTGTATTACAGACCCGAGATATCTAAACCACGTGACTTGTGGAGTAACATGGTCTTAAAATTTTATCCCTAGGTTAGAAACACTCGTCCTTTTGTTGAACTTACATTTCATATACATTGTTTTACTTCTACTTAGGTGAAAGCCATGCGTTTCTAAAGCTCGGCTCCAAGTCTCCGACCTCTAATTTAAACCCTCATTTGATTCTTCAAGTATGACTATATCATCTGCAAAAAACATGCATCTCGGTGCAAGCTCTTGGACGTGTTCCATGAGTACATCCAAAACTAAAATAAAAAGGTAGGGGTTTAGGGTTGGACCTTGATGTAAAACCTATTGTAATGGGAAAATTGTTTGTCTCTCCACCTTGTGTCTGTGCACTAGTCTTGGATGACTCGAATATATGCAATTTCAATCACTTTATTCTCTAGGATTTTCCACAAAATCTCTTTAGGCATTATATGATACACTTTCTCTAAGTCATTAAAAATTAAGTGCAAGTCTTATTGGTCCATCTGATATTGTTCCATCATACGTCGTGGTAGATAAATTGCTTCCATGGTCGACCCCTCAAGCATAAAAACAAATTGGTTTTCAGTTACTTAAGTCTCTTTTCTTAGTCTCCATTGAATCACGTTTTGCCATAATTTCATGGTATGACTCATAAGCTTAACCCCCATATTATTTGCACAATTTTGTATATCACCCTTGTTCATATAAATTAAAACTAAAGTACTTCTTTTCCATTCATCAGACATTTTCTTTGACATCATAATTTTATTAAAGAGTTTGGTGAGTCACTCAATACCTTTATCTCCAAGAATTTTTCACACTTCAATAGGTATGTTGTCTAGTCCAACCACATTACTGTTACACATCCTTTTCGACGCCACTTTTACCTCTTGTTTATGAATCCAACAATAGTAATTAAAATTCCAATCCTCTTCTCTAACGTTGAGCCTGTTAGAGTCTGGATATCACATCCTTCATTAAATAGATTGTAGAAATAAATCTTTCACCCATCCTTTATATACATTTTTATTGAACCAAGGCTTTACCTTCTTCATCTTCAACACACTTCACTTGATCCAAATCTTTTATTTTTCTTTCTTGATTCATAGAGATTGGTGTAATCCTTCAAAAACATGGATTCTTGCTTCACTCACAACCTTTTTAGGCTCGTTCTTAGCTTTCTTATACTTCTACAAAGTTTCAACATTTTTACACCTAGACTATTCTATAAAACAATATTTTTTACTCTAACTTTACTCTGAATACTTTCATTCCACCACCACAATTATTTACCCCTAGATCTAAAACCTTTTGATTCTTTGGATACTTTTAAATCTTTTGGAGCATCTTATTACACATATCATGCGCACTTCCTTGCAGTTTCTATGAAAATTTGAAATCCAAGTTATTTCATGATGTACCAAAGAAACATTGATGATATTGTCGTGGCGCATTTATACAGAATAAAGGAAATTTGAATTTGTTTTCCTTTTAACAAAATAAAAATGATTCAAAATCTCCATTATATATTTGTATTGTTCTAAATTTAATATATAGGCGTTGAAGTAAATCGACTTCATAAGTTTATGTATTTTTTGATATGATAATATTATTTGAAAGTCAGACATCAAAATGAGACACATGGTACTTAACGAATAAGGGCATTTATTTGGTTGGTGTATCATGGTAGGATAATGACTAATGAGAGAAAAAATAAAATGTAACTAGGAGGAAATTTTTGTAGTCACCGAGGAACAATGATGAAATCTGTTATACACATCTTTCATGTATGTCCTTTGCCTTTTTTCTATTTGAACTATTGTGGTTAAGTTGGATATAAGGGGCTTTTTTTCACTATTAATATTAAGGAGTGGATGGATACAAATTTGCGTTTGGATTTTGGTAATAGTGGAAATCCTTCGCAGAAAGAAATTTGGACAACCTCTTTCCATGCACTTTATATGTGGACGAATAAGGAACAACATGATGAGAATTTTGAGACCTAGAATTTTGTGGCGGCATGTTGCTAAAGTTGCTCACAAGTATTTTTTTTGGCAGCGGAGTTGCATGGTAGTAAGATAGAGTTGGCTCGAGAGACTAAACAAATAAGGTCAAATCCTTTTCCTTTAGGTTGGATGAGATTGAACATGGATGGATCTAATAAGAATGGTTTGATAGCTAGATGTGATGGTCTTTTAAGAGGTTGTACGGGTGAGTGGCTTGAAGGCCTCACAAGATATTTAGGTTCTTGGAGTGCATATATTGATGAACTTTGGGGATGCTGGAAGGGTAACATTAGCAAAAGAGCTTGGGTTTCGAGCTATTGAGCTTTATAAAGATTCAAAAGTAGTTATTCAAATTTTTTTTGGATTCTGTACATGGTTGTATAATTGAAATGCGACTGGTACAACAAATTCAAAAGTTGCTCAAGTTGGATTGAGAGGTGCGATTTTTCATATTTACCGTGAGTCAAATACTTGTGCAGATCCACTTGCCAACAAAGAGTGCGATATAGGTTCTAATTTGATACTTTATGAGCGAGTTCCAACTCAAATTACTCTTATTTTAATAGTTTATTGTATTAGAGTCTCTACATCTAATTGATTGGTATGTAATATTTTCTGTTTGGGCTTCAACCCTTTTTTCTTCTAAAAAATAAACAAATGTGTGTCATACCCTAAATTTGC